ATAACAAACTGGTTCTACAGCGGAGGGTTAACTGCATACACACAGAGTGGTACACGCAAATTCATTGTATACGTGCCGAGTGTGCATGTGTGCCGAGCGGTCGCGAATACCAATAACCGACAACCCTTTCGGCTAAAGTCCCTTATCCACAGCGAAGACATAAGTTACTTTAATAGCTTTTCAGTAATTACAACATTTAGTTTAAATATCATAATTCGACGCTGTATTGGGACATAAATAATATTTTATTAGTTTCAAACTACAAAACTCAGTTTCAATAATTAATATGATCCATAAATTACATTGGATTAGATTAACTAAGAATACTTTACTTATTGTTATCAGGATTTAATTATGTACTAAAAATATTAAATTGTCTCAAAATTTTTAATTCAAAAAGTACAGATCATATTACCTACTTAAAATTTCTATAACAAATAAATAAATTGAGGTGTCTGTTTGTACTTTTAAAGTAACAGTTTTTACTAAATGCATATAAAAGTATATGCGGTACTTGTATTATAAAATTTTTGTGTTTTTTTTGTTTTACTAACCAAAAGTTAAAGCAAAGCTACGAGTATTTAGGCCCTATTTTGACGGGACTGTCACTCACAGAACTAATGTTATAGGGAGTAACTTTGGCTACTTTTGTTTTAGGAATTTATTTTAAGAAATAGTTAATTTCAGCTAGTTTAATATATTTGTTGGTTACGAAGCTATACTAAGCCGGTCCATGGATGGAGTACCTAACAGGGGTCCACGGGCACGCTAATAACCCTGCTAATGTGCTTGTCTAATTTGTTGTCGGCCGGGACTGATCGATACCGTACCCTGACACACATACCATACTCTAGCTGCTTAGACAAATACCGAATACTGAATCTTACTCCTAAAACACCACTATTTCCATTAATCTGACTATTTACACTCCTAAATATTCTATGTTTACATACCACAAATGTCTTCTTAATAACATACTACTACAAATAATATTATGAACAGGTAGAGTTTGGTGTTCAGATTTTGAAACCTATAGTAAGTGCATTTATATGAAAGAAATCTATCTAGATGGAAAAAGATAGTTTCTATTCTGTAGTATTTCTGATTGCATAATAAATTTTTTTGAAGTAATTAAAAAAAAATTATTACTTTACTATAGGTATATAGACTATTTAAACAGCAACAAACAGATAAGAATGCGGAATGCTTCTACCAATTTTCTATTAATTATTAATTACTCTGTATGTAAATGACAATAAAATAAGAATTTGTAAAAAAGAAACAATTTCACCGGACATAGCGAAATCTCTGTCTTAGACATAATTTAAAGTCTTTTAAAGGTGCCAATATCATTTGATTACCCACAATTGTAATTTATATGTAATCCAAAGAAATTACTATTTTAATCTTTATGTTTGGAAATTTGTGCACGCCAATCTCAGTAACATAATTTACACGAAACTCAAAACAATATTACAATTTTTATCTCTATATTTGAGCATTTGTGCACGCTAATCTCAGAAACAGCTTAACCAATTTACTTACGCACTAATGTAATTGTGGTAAGTCTCGATTAAAATTGAACGTTTATTTTATTCCAATTGGATTAAATATATGTGGACGAAATCGCAGATCCGGCTAGTTTATTTAATAAATGTTCGAAGTAAAAATAACGGCTAGCTTTTTATGCGTCGTGTTGTCGTATATCCCTTTATTGAACTGACAAAATCTCATTCAATCCTTTATCTCGACCTCATTATTCAGGACAAAGCTTCCATTCTGGTGTAGGTGTGAGCGAGGGTTTCTTAGGGCACTGAATGGCTCACAGCTCTTACAAGATTATTGTGCGAGGTGTCGTAGATTTTGTTGGCGTGCGCGAACTCGATTCGAAACGATTATTCAATTGTAAAGATAAGATCGAGACGTTAGGCAAAGAAATTAGCTTGGTTCAACGTTCACAACATTTTTCTTAGTCAATGCGATTTAGGGTATTTATATATTATAGCTAAACAACATCTTAATACAGAGTTTTAATAGATAAAATACTCTTTTGCCGGTATATACAGTATAAATACCATAGATATCACGCTATCATGTAACACCCGTGATACTTATACGTTATCACTACAAAGGACTAAGATATCATACCTCTTATCCTGTTATTTGACTTCCTTATTATACCATATTGTTACCGAAGATATCGTGCTAGTATTTTGAGATACTATGTTCGTCTCCATAATACTATCTGTCTGTACGTCACAATAAGAACCATACAACTGTAAGAGCAATACACGAACATACGATATAGAATTAGTTTGTATATTTATAATCAAAAACCGTAACCTAATCTGTTTGCAATCAATTTATTTTTTTTACTCTTTCAAAATTATCTAGGCTGTCCATGTTTAATCGGGATTTTAGTAATGTCATTTTACGTACAAAATTCTAAGTTTGTAGCAATATACATATAGATTTTTATGAGCTACGCTCAGTGTTTTGCCTTTGAGCAACATTATATATCTTGGAGCTCCAAATTGCGATGATCATGCGGATTTGGATGTCGAAGAAACTATCTTCTACATCCAAATATACTTTCTATATAGGTACACTAAACTAAAACCCACTACAAATTCAATTTAAATGTTCGACTGTTTTGTAACTTTATGTACCTACATACAGGAATAAATTGATTGAAAAAGAGGATATACTAGTTTATTTGCAAAATAAAGTGGTATATCTTGGTGGTGGTAACTGGTGTATCTGGTTTCTTATTGGACATTTGACGCTCGCACTAAAATAATAAGAAATAGAATCTTGGCTATATACTCGCTTATAAGTGAATTATGACTATGATCATAAGCATTAGCTATATACGAGTATTTTATATATCTATGCCTACATATAATATATAATAAACATATAGGTAACAATTACCTTATTAAATAATTTTAAATAGTCTATGCCTTAGCTGATGGTAACATTCTTTGTCGTTTTATATAGGTATATAGTATTTCATTATAAACTAATGATCAGTTATGTTTATTTAACCAGGAAACAGCGGTAATAATAAATACGCGTACCGAGTGTACTAATGCAAGATGATTCTGTAGGCCCGTTTATACTGATGATTAGTAATGCATATAAATTGACTTAATACGCGCACGCTGTATTATGCGAACTATTTATCTCCCGACATATTGCAAGATACTATTACCTACTCTGTGGACTAACATAGATATTCCAGATACTTAAACGTAACTTCCAAATAATTTTAGAATATTTTGAGTCTATGGGCATAAGCGACGGAATCGGCGAAAGTTGGTTTTTATTATATTCCTCCATCTGGTCTTTTATATACATAAATACTCTAATAATATGACTCTCCTTTATAGCAAATGGAAAAACTTGTTCCCGTCAAAGGCATTTGCCGTCGGTCGGTCGATGAAACGTTGGTTCGTGGAACTGTACGGCAAATCAATGTAAAGCTACAAATAACAGATCAAACATCTACATTACTACCTGAATGAAGTGCTAATGATGAATAGATACTATATTAAGTATTTGATATTAATAACGTTTCTTAATTTTCGACAGAATACAAAAACTGTGTACCTACTGTGTGACGCACGAAATAAAATTAAATTAGGCTATATAGTAATAATTTGACTTTACAAATTTGTCTCAGTATACCTAGGTATATTTTTTGTTATATAAATAAAATTTAATGAACTAGAATATTTTATTTATGAAAAATATGCACGCGTAAATTTTCATCGCAAAGTATTTGGGGACCAATGTGGATTTTCAATTAAATGTCTGTTGGAAATATCAAAGTAAATGCTACTTAAAACTGTATTGCAATAATCAACGTTTAAATAGCTTTAAGTCCATAGTTTTATGGATTAAAAAGCATGTACTGGTCATATTAATAGATAGGTTTCTATCGTAGATTTTTATCGATATGTAAATATATTTCCCAATTATAGTATTGTATCGCTTTACAGAGAGACTTCTCTGCGACACTGGTAGAGAGGTCATTCAGGCGTAAAGTCCGGTCTGTATTAAAATATTTCTACATGTGGAAGAATTAATTACAAATATCTACATATAATACTTGTATTAAATTTTTACCTTGACCTGTTATAATGTTTTTACGAGAAAAAGTAATAGCAGAGAAGACTGGTAATGGTAGAGAATGACATTAAACCTAAAGTCCGCCTGATATCTATTCTGTTTATATATGCACAAGAATATATAAATATATATCTGCTTGCAATAACCTTATGCCTAATTTAGTTATAATTTTTAAGGATTATAAAGAGCTGTTCACACATAACAAGCCGGCGTAATCCGAACTGCGCGCGACGGGCGTTGCATCGTGTTGCGGCGAACTCTCTCAAAGCCCACAAAGGCAGCATTGTCTCACAGACTAAAGACGCTAATTATAAAAGTGAAAAAAGCCTAATTAAACGCGCATAATGAACCCTTACCCGCCGCTGCAAAACTACGAGTAGCACGACATAAAAGCTCTTGAAGTTGTTGCCGTAGTAGTTTTGTAAAAATAACTTAATAATTATATTTAGAATTATATTGGAAGTTTAAAAGATAAATTAACTTTATTAGGACCAACTGAATGAATGGAAATAACAAATTGACTAACAAATACTTTTTTCTAGACATTTTTTAATACTGGTCTTCTAATAATTCCGACGAAGAATCTACGATTATGAGAACTAGTCAGTTATTTTAATAGATACGTTTTAGTTAGGTAAATAATAATTATTATAAAAGAAAAATTATTTAATATTTATTCAGATCCTATGATAAAAATAAATTAATAATATAAACAGACCTTGATATAACTGTACCATTTCCTTAATTTACTCACTTTAGTGTCTAGGTTCTACCAAAAAGAATCAGGATATTAAATAACATTAGGTACCTACAAGAAGTAAACAGTTACAATCCAGTATTCGCTATTTGAAAAACAAAGTACTCACCAGGTGGTGGATGCAGGAGGGGTGGACCTGGTAGAAATGCTGCTGCAACCGCTGCCTGGGCATTGAAAGCGGCAGCATACGCTACTCGGCTGGCCACAGACGCCGGCAGTTGGAACTGAGGAGTATATGGAGCTCGAGACTCTCTGCTTTCTGACAAATTTAATACTCTATCGTTATCCCGATTTTCAAAATATCTTTCTCTGGAGTCTCTGCTATCTGATAGACCTAGCAGCTCTTGTATAGCGAAAGGTGACCGCTGAGGAGCCCGCGGCGCGCTCGTGTTAGCGCTCATTGCTTGCATTGTGTCTTCAGGGATTTATAAATAAGATACTTAATGGACAATTTTATTTCGCTTGTCTTATTTTTTCTAGAGGGTATTCCATTGTTCGTTATTTATTATATATTGATATCACAATTTTCAATAGGTTTTATGTACTCAAGTACTTAATCTTATTTTTAATAATTAGTTGTAGTCTTTAATATTAAAAACACACTTCCATAAAAAATCTAAGTAACACTTATTTACTTTTTTTTAAGTAATAATAAATTTTATACTTATTACAGTCATAAAATTAGACCGAAATTATTAGGCCAAAATGTTTAAAATAAAAAAAAGCCGTATTTTTAATTTTCCATGCGGTGGAAAATTGCGGAAAAATCATCTGACAAATTGCAATGTGTAACGTGACACAAGCACTCGCCGCGGCGTCTGGAGCGCTTCTGCCCGCGGCGCCGCCCGTTGCGTTGTAAAAACGAGAAAACCCCCCTTGGAGTACTCGCGAAGCGCTCTGGTTGCCGAATCGACCTAATTCACTTCCCCGCGAGTACACCGCACGACCTTTCTGAACTGAACCGAAGATACAACACTCAGATCTACAACGACGTTACTACGCCCCGTTGCGAGGGGGATACGACGTTCTCGAACTGAACTGTGGGACCCCCAGCCCGCGCAGGCGGAGCCTACTAATAGCCAATACGGATATTTTGTTACCGCACTCTATTGGCCAGATTTCTTCGCGACGGGCACGCCTACACAACATTCTGCCACCTGAAATACGACTGTGGATTGAAAGCGTTAAATTCTAAAGTCAGTCGCGGTGTTGCAGGTTGATTTAATTTTGATTAATTGTAAGAAATGAATAGATCCGCGGTCGAGGGAGACGGCCGCGCGGGCGACTGTACTAATGCGGGGGGCGCGAGTCCAGCGCTTGGCCGGTTTTATACGCGAGCACACACCGCGCCAGGTGGATTGGCGCGTAATTTCGCACTTAGCGCTCAGTGCGCACTGTGCCTTATTGTTTTACCTCCGCCTGTCTCAATGACCCCCTCTTACTCATATTAATTTCGACGTCCGTTTTCTGTATAATGCTTCATTCTTAACTATTGCTCGTATTCAACCTAAAAGTCTGTAGATAATGCCTACCTACTATAAGAATTAATGACAATAAAGAAATAAAATAAAAGAGCCCATCTTTTATTTTATTTCTTACCCATTTAAATCCATTTCTATATATTTTGTAGGTATAATTCAAAAGATGGCGCTGTAGGTGGCGGAATCTATTTTAGGAATTACCCAAAACTACAGAATTAAGTTACTTAAACCATGTAGGTTCTTAAACACCTAATTAAAATATCTGATAAATATTTTCATGTTTTTTTTTTAATATTATATGTACTTAGATCAAAGTCTACGTATAAGAAAGTAGGGTAGTAAATATTATATGACCAATGACTTGTTTGATAAGACTTTTGAAGTTCCTAAACTTAAAAAAATTATGTAATAAACAGTTTATATACCTATCTACTTATTAATATGTAGGTAACATCACTTTCTTATGTAATACATGTTTAGTTTAATGTTCACGTACCTTATTAGATCCACTGTAACTAAGTATGATGGTAGATAGGCGATAGGTCTTACGTTTAAAATAAAACAGAGAGGAGACAGACTAATATTATTTCATACCTTGTCCGAACATTGTTTCATTAACAAATTTATAGCTATATACCTATATCTACATTTAATAATATTTATAGTGTATAAGTTAGATTTACCTAGTTAATTTTTAATTTATTCTCTATATTCTCATATTATACATATCATTAATTTTATTCATTAAATTATATAGTTTTCTGCAGTATTTAGCGAAATATAAAATTAACACAATATTACACTATTTTTAAATATGTACAGATTTGTAACCCCTGCTGGTCTAATAAAATTATTAGGTAGAGAGTAGATATTTAAAAATTAAATAAAGAGACACGACAAATATTCCTTTAAAATAAAGATATTTTACAAATATCATTCAGGTATTTTATTTAATTGATAAATTTTATTGATTTATCGATTAGATTAATCAAAAATTTTAATTTCTCAAAGAGTAAAAATTTAATTCATTTAATAAGTAAAATTTTTACTCTTTGACAAATTTAATAAATGAAAGATTTATAATCTGTTATTTTTGACCGAGAAAGGACCATTACCTGTAGTCAGACAATCTTTATATTAATAATATATTAATATGAATATCAAAGAAAGTTAAATCATTAATCTTCTCTTTAATATATATTGTGCAGATCTACCTAACGTTATTAAACATTGCAAATATCACTGTTACGCTGACGATATACAACTTTATATCTCGTTAAAGCCAACAAAAATTAGAGAAACATTGAAGGCCCTTAATGAGGATTTGGGTAGAATAGCTGATTGGTCTTCTAATAATTGTCTCAAACTTAATCCGTCCAAGTCTAAATTTATGATTCTTGGTAGTAAAAAACAGATTGAAATGATCAAAAATAGCGATCCCGTTGTAAAAATTTTAAATACTTGTTTACAGGAGGTTAGTGAAGCCAGGAATCTGGGTATTGTTTTTGATTGCCAACTCCGTTTTGAGAGCCATATCCGGAATCTTGTAAAGAACTGTTTTTATAAATTGAAAGTTTTATATAAAATAAGAAATTGTGTAAATGAAAAAACGCGCATCACTCTATGCGAATCATTAATTTTATCTAGGCTAAATTATGGAGATTTGGTGTACGGACCTCGATTACTTTACAAAACTCGTCGAATGATTCAACGTGTACAGAATGCATGCTGTAGATTCTGTTTTGATATTCCTCCGCGTACACATGTATCTCCGTTCATAAATAGGGCTTCAATGCTAAATATGGAATCACGTCGAAAATTACACCTTGCAATGCTTATGTTCAACCTTACAAAGCTGAAAAGCCCAGAGTATCTTTACCAAAAGCTAAGGTTTCGCACGTTCCACGACCAATATGGAGATGGTACACCTAGGACTCTGAGGCCACCATTGGCAGCGCACTCACATAAAACAATGGCGTTTAGAGGATGTTTCCGCTATCAAGCGACCAAATGTTGGAATAATATACCCCCTCCAATTAGAAGTATTCCCTCGAAACTTACTTTCAAGCAAAAATTAAAAGATTTGTTGTTGGAGGAACAAAAGTCAAGTTGATTTGTCTTTGTAACCGTTATACATATAATGTACATATATTTCTTCATTTTCCCCAATATTTGATTAGTGGTTTTGGTTGCTTGATAGTGGTAACACTCAACACTCAACACTCAACACTCAACACTCAACACTCAACACTCAACACTCAACACTCAATACTCCTTTTAAACACTTCACACTCTTATGCAATAATTCTATTTTCTCTTTTGTTTTTCATATTTATTTTATTATATGAATTGATAATAATTTCCTATATATTTTATGCCTATATGTTATACCTATTTCTTGTTTTAATATAGTTTTTTTTTCTTTTTTAATATATTAATATTTATGATAATGTAATAGGGCTGATTACAAGCTGTGGTCTTGTTACATGCGTCCTCGTGTATGTCTCTGGGCAGTGCCTGAATATCAGTGGTTTGCTGCTTGTATGCTGCAAACAATACACTGAGGTGCTGCCTTTTTACGTATGGGCTATGCACACACACTACGTTACTCATACCGTTTTTTGTTATCTGTATTGCATTTTATTTTATCTGTATAATTGTTGTGTATTGTATTTTGTTTGACTTCACTAATGTAATGTGTATATCTGTTTTATTTTTGTTCTTATTATTACAGTGCCTTTTGTGTGTGTGTGTGCCTTTAACGTGAATAAAATTTTTATCTATCTATCTATCTATCTAAATCAATTCTAACTAAATTAAACCCAATATTAAACTGTTTTATTTTCTCCTTCAGTCTTATCTAGCACCGGCTTTTGCATGGGTGTATCTACATATTTTACACATAGATACTTATAAATCTTTCTCTTGATTCACTTTATCTATTGCTTAAAACTGCATTAAAGTCCGTTGCGTAGTTTAAAAGATCTAAGGGAGAGACAGAGGAAGCGACTTCGTTTTAAACTATGTAAAAATGAGTGTTAAATTTATTATGATTTATTTACTTTTACATGCATCTATTTGTAATTTCTTACAAGCGGCAATAGACAGGCCAACATCCTCATTCTATAGATAACTGTATAAACAGGAGTTCTACTAAAAAAATAATTAATTAAGTTAGTTTACTTACAGTAACTCTATAATAATGACCAAACTTTTGTAATAAAGAATACAGTCTTGGTTATATTCACAAATTTTTTCTTAGTAAATAGCCAAAATATTTACTACTTGTACAACTAGTTTGCTGTCACTATTTTTTACTAAATACTAATCAATATTATGGTGTTTATTACTAAAGCTTTAAAGTCGCTTTTTTCAGTGCAGATCTACAACTTATACCTAAATAGATTCTACTGTTTATTAAACTAATTGAAATAAGAATTATAAAAATTGATGGTTTCTAAATATATGAAGAACTTTTTCTGTAATTGTAGCTACCTTTTTTGTTGTTTATGGATTTAGATCCCACCCAGTCTAATAATACTAATTACATAATAGATACATTTTTGCACAAAATAGTTGAGCTGAGTATGTTTAGATACATAAAATATGTCAACTAAATTAGTAGAGTTATTTTAAAAATAACCAAACTTCCGTGACTTTCAATAATTAAATATTTGTGCTAAATAAATAGCAAAACCATTTTAGTTACTAATAAGTTACAACAAATTTGTCTTTATTATAATAGTAAAAAAAATATATTTTAATAAAGTTTTGTATTTTTTTTAATTTCAATTAACAGTCACTACTCGCACAAATTTTAATTACAACCCAACAATTGCACTTTATATAAACTTATACAACATTTGTACAACTACGTTACTACGTTACGTTTATACAACTACTTTATATAAACGGCTGAGTAGAAGTGATCAGTGTATGATAAAAGCATCGTAATATCGGCAGCTCTTAAATAATATTATCAAATTAAACATATGTAGGTATAATGTACACAATTGTAAACAAGCGTGAAAATATTTAAAAAAATGTTTACAACCCTACAGTACAGACTAAACTGCAATA